GGTGGTATTCATCAGGTTTTGACCAGTTCTCTAGAACCAGTAGCGGACATTTTGAGTAGTTCGGAGTACTGGTAAATACCACCCCTCCCTCATCTATTCTCTGCTAACCAAGTCCCAACTGATTGGGAGGGAATGGAGATTTTACAATATCCTTCCCTTGCCGTGCCCACCAAGCCATGCCCACAGAGCCGGTAGTAAAAAAAAATGAATCCCACCACTGCTCCAACCACAAGCCCGCAACCCAATGCTGATCTGGAGCCCATTTAAAACCGGGCCATGGAAATGGTCTGCATGTACACAAAAGCATCTCACCTCCATCTCACCGCTTTTGCTGGTCCACCAAGCCCAAAGGTTTGGAGACCACTGCTGTAAACTATATTGTGCACAGGATAGTCCCATTCCTGTCTGTGGATTCTCAAGGAGATTAAGGCTAAAACAGGCTCAGAAGCTCTGTTTGGTAGCCAGTCAATGTAAAAACAGAGGGCTATAGAACAAGGCAGGAAGCATCTTAAATTAGAGGAGGACCCAAACTCCAGGGGATGGGAGGGAAAGGATCAGCCAAGCTCAGGGTATACAAAAGTGAGCTGAGAGACGCATATATAGAGAAGTAGAAGGAGATACAAGAAACAGATTGCTGCATGCAACAGAATAAGTAGAAAGTACAGGGATGAAATTCAGCAGGTTCTGATAGGTTCTGGAGAACCAGTAGTGGAAATTTTGAGTAGTTTGGAGAACTGGCAAATACTACCTCTGACTGGCCCCAGAAAGGAATGGGGCAGGGGAGGATTCCTGCCAGCATTACTAGCGGTTTGGTGCCCAAAACATTTTGCTCTGTGTGCGTGTACATTTGAACTTAAAAAGAACTTTTCATGCACATACCATTAAAAGGGGGGGGGGTTACATTTTTTCAATGAAGATTGTTCTGCGCATGTGCAGAACAGAAAATAAAGCTGGCAGCACCTAGGATAGAACCGGTATGGTCACGTGTGCACCCGAGCTACTACCTATTCAGCCGAACCAGTAGGAACCTGCCTCTGGAATGAGGATTTTGCAGTGTCCCTCTCCTGGAGTGGGGAGGGAATGGGGAATTTGAAGTATCCTTCCCCACAATCTGCTGGGACTCGGAAGACAGAGAACAGATGGGGTGGGGCCAGTCAGAGGTGATATTTACTGGTTCTCCGAACTACTCAAAACTTCCACTCCTGGTTCTCTTGAACTGGTCAGAACCTGCTGAATATCACCTGTAGTCCCAGATCCCTGGGCCACAGGCCAGTACTGGAGCCATGACCTATTAGGAACCAGACTGGGTAAGTGGCCAGTGGAGTGGCAACATGTGAAACTCCATTTGCACAAGCAGCAGGGCATGCACTCCCCTGCCATTTGCACAGAACTATAATCTCTCCCCTCCCCCACTGCCACTGCTGGTCTACAGAGCTGGAAGGGTTGGGGAACATTGATCTACCTCATGCACATCTCAGATTCACTGGTGGTGCTACCCATCTGCTCTTTCTCTTAGGAATTTCTATTGTCATATTCAACTGGAAGACATCTTCTTATGCTTGAATCCATCATTCTTGGACAAGAAGTCCAGAAATAGGCCTATCCAATCTGTCTCCTTCTAGAGCCGAGGTGGCGCAGTGGTTAGGGTGCAGTACTGCAGGCCACTTCAGCTGACTGTTTCTGCAGTTCAGCGGTTCAAATCTCACCGGCTCAAGGTTGACTCAGCCTTCCATCCTTCCGANCCAAAGAAAAAAATATTGGACTTCCTGCTAAGAAGTAACAATTTATATATAGTATGCACAATTCTTTTAGTTAAATTATTGCTGAACAATTTATAATAGTTGCATCAAAATATTACTCTAAGATATTTGCCACTACTACCCTACTTCCTAGATGTTCACTATTCTCTCCCCCCCCCCAGATTTAAGGGCATGTGAAACACTTTTGATAAAAGTTGCATATGAAACTTCTCTCCTTTGAAATAATGTTTGGTTTTAATTCTCCAATCAATCAAAAGGAATGTTTCACGCTTCCTTGTTACACAGCATTTGTTTTAGCTTTCCATAGCTCTCCCAAAACCAATCAAGGAAGATAAAACCACAAAAATCTAATACTGTTATGCACAGCTTTGCACTAAATTATCTGTATAGTAAGCCAAAAAATAGTTTTAAATTATAATTAGCCCATTAACATGCAGATACATTTTTCTTGTTCAGAGACTTCATGAGAGACTTCCCACTCCTTGCAAAATATCTCACTTCCACATAAAGGGAGCAGCAACTCCTCTGTGAAGGGGGGGGGGTTGGCTTCTCTTTGCCATTTAAAGGCTGCAGCAGGGAGAATCCCAACTTTTTTCCTCTCCCTTCATTCACAGAGGAGCTGCAGCTCCCTTTATGCTCCCCTTGGCCCCCTCCCTCCCGGGGGTCGAAGCACCTGAAAGGAACAGGCAGGCTGCCACAGCTTTGCTGAGAAGACATTTCTGAGAAGAGAAACTTATCCGGTCCGGTTGCACCCGAGCTGGTGGAACGCCTGTGCGATCGGAGCAACCGCATGGCTCACCTGCACTGGCTGTCTCCCTGGTGATGGGTGTGCAGTTGCGGGCACTCCATCAGCTCGGGTGCAGCGGACCGGAGAAGTTTGCATGGCTCTGGCAGGCAGGTTGTATGACTGCTCTGGAGCCGGGGCATCCGGACCAAATTTGGAGCAGGAGCAGTGATCAGACAGAGTGTTGGGACCAGGAGAAAGGCTGGCCAACCCAAAAGTAAAGAAATTTTACATTTGGAGCTTTAAAAAATTGTCCAGAGATTAAAACAGCAGCTAATTGGCACACAAAATACAAAGGGGGGGGGGAGAAATGGTTACCGCCCAAGAGGATTGTGGCTAACATAACTAGAATCAGAGATATTTAAAATAACAAAAGGAAGAATACAGAGAAAAAAAGATAATTTTACTGAGTGGATTTGGAACTTTTGGTTTCTGAAAACTTTGATAAGTTATTGATTTGACTGCACTGTGTGATCATAAAAGCCATCTACTGGAGGAAAGAAACACAGCAACATCTTGAAACAAAGCACAATGGCAAAACCTGATCTTGAATAGAGACAGGGGAGATAAGTGGAAGAAATTTTAAGGTGTGTGCAGCCATTTCCTATTGTTGGACTTTGCTCTGCCAGGACTGAAAAAGAAAGTTAAAAACCTTTTCTTTTCACAATGACAGTGGTGAGGCTCTGCCTCCCCTGCCTCCCCTGACTGCACGTCCCTGGAGTGTGAGATGTTTGAAGAACTACTTGAAATGTTAAGAGACACACATACAAAATTAAAAGGTAGCAAAGAACTAGAAAATCTGTTGAAATACACAGAACAGGAAATAGGAGAGGGGCTGACAAAGAAGAACACAAATGAGATGCAAAAAGCTAACATTTTTAGAAAAAACTCTGAAAATAAAAATCTGTTACACAGCTTCAGTGAGATTTACAGAGACACAGAAAGAGCAGAGAGGGGGAAAGGGAAAAGGTAATCCAAAAAGGAACAATTCAAAAAAAGGGGGGAGAAATTGTGGGAAGCAAAAAAGAAAAATCTTAGGGAGGGTTACTCAAATGATTTATAGAAGAATGACAGGGAAAATGCAGAAGAAAAGATATAATACATATAAAAGGGGGGAAAAGAAAAAATGGATCTAAGAGTAGGGGATAGAAAGTCAAGAAGAAAACTGATGGAAAATAGAACATCAAGAAAGTAAGGGATGAGTTAAGAGAAAATGGTTAGGAAAGAAGGAAGGGAAAGAAGAGATTTATCAGTAGAAAAATGAAATATGTTAATACTGCTAATAATATATTGTTAAAATAGTTAAATATGATAATTGTGGATAACCAATTAAGTAAATTGTTCCTTATATTAAAATTGAATTTGAGGATATATGCCACCTATAGAAATTAGAATAATAAATGGAAAATGAAATGATAAATTTGGTATATTTTCAAAGGGCGAAAAATGATACTCTTTATGTGTTAAGAGCAAATTAAGTTTAAGATGGAAATATGGGAAGAAAATATATGGGGCTGAAATTAGAAATGATAATGTGATGTAAAGCAAATTATGTACATGAGAGAATGTAAAATAGGGAAACCTGGACAACACTTTGTTTGTAAAAGGAATTTAAAATTTGTAACAAAAAACTAAAAAATTCTATTTGGAAAAAAAAGAAATATATAACAAGAACCAACTAGAATCTGGGTAATTCACAACAGATCTCTTGACCGTGGAACCCCATTCAGTGATCTAAAGAACCTAGCTATTTCATAGTGAACAAAAATGATTCCAAGCAATCTTTCATCCCAGATCCAACTACTTCCCATTCGTTTCCCAACTGGTTGGAAAGAATGAAAGAGAGGATGGAGAACATTAGATGAACAATCTCAGCTTACCTGGTTAAACCGTTGGGGCCAATTCATGGCCTCCTGGTCAAGGATAAATTCCAGATCTTTGGACCCCCAGGGTCTATCTATCCTCCCAAACTTCACGGCATTGAAGGACTCATTGGGAAAGGTCACCCAGTTCACAGTATCAAACTTGGCAGCAAGGTCCCCTTTCTCATCCAGAAAAACTCCCTCCATGCAAGTATTGTAGAAGTGGGAATCTCCCAGGAAAGGATGAAGCTACAATGACAAAGAAANTAGGGCAGAGAACCGGTTGTTAAATTATTTGAATCCCACCACTGGCTGTAAAGCACTATGAAGCAGTATTTAAGTCTAAATCAGTGGTGAGTTTCAAAAAAAAATACTACTGGTTCTGTGGGCGTAGCTTGGTGGGCATGGCATGGGTTGGTGGGTGTGGCAGAGGATGGACACTGTAAAATCTACATTCCCACCTCACACCAGGGGAAGGATACTGTAAAATATCCATTCCCACCTCACTCCAGGGGAAGGATACTGTAAAATCCCCATTTCCTCCAGATGAGAAGAAGAACCAAGTAGCTGGCTAATCCTCAATAGATTTCTTGACCATGGATTCCAACTCAGTGATCCAAGGAGCCTAGCAATTTCATTGGAAACACTGATCCCAAGCAATCCTTCATTCCAGCTCCACTGACTTCCCAAACATTTCCCAAATGGTTGTAAAAATGAAAGAGAGATTGGAAAGCATTACATGAAGACTCTCAACTCGCCTGGTTAAACCTCTGGGACCAGTTTGTGGCATCCTGGTCAAGGGTGAATTCCAGATCTTTGGACCCCCATGGTCTATCTATCCTCCCAAACTTCACTGCCCCAAATGATTTATTAGGAAAGGGCCTCCAGTTGACACTCTCAAATTTGGCAGCAAGGTCACCTTTCTCATCCAGAAAAACTCCCTCCATGCAAGTATTGTAGAAATGGGAATTTCCCAGAAAAGGATGAAGCTGGAATGGGAAACAAAAGGAAAACATGAGAAAAGAAAAACTAAGTTCTCTGAGTAGAGTTGGCATCAACCCTATAACTCGAGTCCAGAAGTCACTACAAAGGAGGTGGAGTGGGAGCTTCCCTGCCTCAGAAACCTCACAAAATGGAAGATGATTGAAATCTTAAACTCACCACACCATCTACAAGTATATTTGAAACCTGAAAGCTCACCTTCAGGATTTTTGAAGGAAACCAAATACTGTTCTGGCCTAAGTTTCCCCAAAAAGCACGAAGCAGATTCCTGGTCTTGACAAAGCCCCTTTTATGAAACGAATGTGAATTCCTCTCCTTCACATTCAGCAAAGGCCTGGTAAACAGTCTTTCAAAGGTGAATGTATGACCACAGACCTTATCTAACTTGGAAAGCTGCCATGTAAATATTTTCCAAACGCAGTGCTGTGCAAGGAAAGACTTGGCACAGACTCTTTGAGATTCACGGACAGATCTTCCCACTCCTGAAATGAATGAATGAATGAATGAATGAATGAATGAATGAATGAATGAATGAATGAATGAATTGTTTCCTGCAAAAGCCCAACTCCCCCTTTGCTCCTCTTTTATTTCCTATGGGAGGGGCCATTCACCATCCACCTATGGATTTATTCCCAAGTTGACCTTGATTTCTGAGCTGTTCTTTTCTTCTGGCAGCTCTGCGCATGCGCACACTGGGAACTGGCTCCAGCTGTTCCTCTGCCTCACTGCTGTCTAGTTTCAAAGGCAGCTGAGAACTGCAAGGTTGCCTTGGCCCCATCTCTGCATCTGACACAGAGCTCTTGTCCGAGCCTTCCCCAGCTTCCAGGACTGGCCAATGTTCCTCCCCAACCACCTCACTATCCAACTCTGCTGCCAGCTCTAATGGCAGCTGTCAGGCCACAACAGATACCTGCCATGTCTGGAGGATCAGTCTCTGATCTCTTTCCTTCATTACTTTCTGCTTGGACCTGGATAAGGAGGCTGCATGTGATGCCCGAGCAAATGCCCAGGCAAGGTTATAAATACCATAGCCATCCAGAGAGAGGGTTTTCTCTACCACCTCTTCCCGCAGGGTTTCCAGGTCCTCATTCTCCCAACATCTCACCCTTCCTTTCACAGAAAAGGGGTGTTTGGAATACGAACAACTAAATGCCTTTCTGCCAAATTTTTGCATAGGGACAAAAAATGTTTCATAAGCATGTTGCGGTCTTTTTCCAGCATGGATTAAGAAAGAGAAGAAACCTTGGAGATGTTGAGGAGACATAATTTCATAAGATAAATTCATGGAGAGGTCCCACATTGTTGTGGTGACCCAAACTTTTGCCAGGAGAGGCTTGATGTGCCTTTGAACATAGTCTTGAATGATGCCTATCAAGCTGTAGAAATAGCGAGCTTCTCCATAATATATTAAAATGCTGACGTGGTTCCACAACTTAAATGGTTTGTTGTGCAGAAGCCTCATTTTCCAGGGCAAGGTTGGGATGTTCACTGAGAAGGCTGCACAAATTGTGTTCCTGGTTAATATGGGATTAAAAGTTTGTAGAAATCTTTGCCCGTTGTCAGTGTCTGGTGCAAGGAGACCGACCCAATTCCACCCAAAATGTTGGAGCAATTTGGCAATTCCCCAATACAAGTATTCTTCTTTGGGGACCATCCGGTAGATGAAGGGGAACTGGGTTTTGTCATTCAGCTTTTCAGACACAAAACCGTGACTGACCTGTTAAGAATAAGAATGAAAATATTTTGAGGCCAAAGTTTGGAGAATTTGATCTGTTGATGAAAATTGTTCAAAGCACACATACCGACACATAACTACAGTCAAGAAAGAGATATAAATGCAATATAAAATGGTTTGAAAGGTTGTCAAAGGAAGGGGAGAACATCATTTCCAGTGCCCTCTCTGAGTAAGTGCTCTAATGTTTTGATGGTTATGAGACATTAAGCAGCAAGATAATTTCCTGGTGAGGATACCTGGATGGTTGTGACATTTATTCATTTATATGAGATAACAGGTATAATATAAACATGGACATGAACAGAGGAAATGGGTACGCATAAGTGGGGACAATAGGACAGGAACGGTAGGCACGCTGGTGCACTTATGCATCCTCCCTTACAGACCTCTTAGGAAAGGGGTGAGGTCCACACTAAATAGTTTAATGTCCAAATTATGGGGGGGGGGTTGAGGATGGAACAATGGAGTCAGGTAA